AGAAAGAACAAGAACACGTATGATAAATGAAGAGGCAGTATAGCTTATGTAACAACATACTACATTACCCATTTTGTCTGAGTCAATAAGATCTAATCAAACATATTCTAAAAATAATGTCTTTTTCACCTGTGATTGGCTTACAGCGCATTTGCCGAACAATAAATAACAATAAGCACATAGAAGGAAGAATAAATGAAATATTTTGTTGGAATATTAGAATGCTGTGCTGCAGTTATTTCAGGCAGCTATCTCTTTCCATTTGCTATAAGCTGTTAAGCTAGAAAAGAGCAACACTCATCTTTCTCTTTTTGCTTCAGAAGCATGAACTGTAAGGGAAAATATTCCAAAGTTAAGGCATCAAATGACTACACCAGTGATGGGTTTTATTATTCAGATGGCTCAGTATAAGATATATTTTCTCCTTTGTGTTACCAAACCCAGAAAAAAATACCACTGATCTAGAATGTAATGCAACTCTAAGCTACAAAAAGTTTTTGCTCACCACTGTATCCCCAGAGCTTAGGCTAGTTCCTTGCATACAGTGGATGCTTAATAAATATTCTTCATAGAGAGAAAGCTATGGCTTCCTATCAACATAAAGCTAAGGAAAAATGTATGTATTTGACTTTGCAGAAGAGGTGAGCTTAAAAAATATAAGGTAGAAAAGGTTCAGTGGTTGAATGATTAAGTATTTATATACCTGGGTAAAGTTACTTTTCTGTTTGGGAAAATGAAAACATTATTTCACAAAGTGATGTCAGTAATTCAAGGATCACATCAAATTTGTATTGTGAGAAAAATGTATAAGTTACTTATTTTAATTCTTCCTAAATTTTCATTTGTTGACTCATAAGCCAATATATAAATTCTAATGAGGCCAAAAAAAAAGTCAAACTATTTATTTACAGTAATAATAAAAAAACTCACCCAGAATTTTGATTTTTCTACATTGACAGTTTGATTATTAAACTTAATGAATTCTAATGCTTAAACAAAAACGACACACAACCAATTTTTATTTATT